ATATATATATATATATATATATATATATATATATATTTGATACTTTATGATTTTTTATTAGAACCATTATGCTTTATGCGTATAAAGTAAATAGTAAATTAAAATATATTACATTATTGTTTGCAAACGGAACATAAAGCATATACAGTAAATAGTAAATTATTAAAATATATTACATTATTGTTTGCAAACCGAACACGCACTAAAATGCTTATGTTCGTACGATTAACAAACGAGCTAAAAAGAGTCCCATTCCCAAGCTTAAAACCGGTGGCAACCAAGTCTTGTGCCTATCACAACTTGAATAAAAGAGAATTAGTTTATTCACAAATTGTTGACCCAGGATTGAGAGCACATCACATAAAATTTTAATATGTTCCATTTGTTGGTTGCTGCCAACACTGCAGCAAACCTGTCGAACAATTCAAAAACAAAACACGTTAATGTTTTACTTTGTGCTATCGCGAGCCACAACATATAAGGGTCTAAAAACGAGCCAAAATCAATAATAAACCACAGACAGCAGACCCGGCTCAGTTAGCACACAGGATATTCTAATCTTCTGGCATCAGCATGCTTAACCATGACACTGAAGCATCACATGGACACACAAATATCAACAAGTTGATCGATTATCATCTTTCTCAAGGGAAAAAAAAAATGGAAAAAGATGTAAATATTTATGTTTTCCATAACAGCACAAGAGATGCGAATCGGAAAATTCTTATAACTGAAAATACAACCTCCAACAATTGCCATGATCTTATTACTGACTGAGATATCAATGAGAGCCTGGTTAAAATTCATGAGGATACGTTGATAACCCATATAGCCGATAACTCCGGATCATTCTCTCATTACTTCATTAACACAACATTTAAGCTTCTCCTTTCTCATTTTTAGACTATCTCAGCAAGTCAGACGACACAACTTGAATATTAATGGAAGATGCTGACAAAACAAAATGATTACCCAAACCAAAGAATAAGCAGCCATGAAAAACCAATTCGCGACAAACACTTTAACTTATTTTCTTGTAAAATATGTGGTCCAACTAATAAAACTAAAGTAAAAGTTACACTGCTCACAGCAAAAAATCATCCACAGTAATACTTTTGAAAAACCAACCATGAATGTCCTGTGGGGCTTCTTTAGCCTGTCCATCGTTTCACTTATACCGAGAGCCGAGAACAGATCAAAAGAGCTCCATTAAACCAGATGTGATTTTGTTCCAGAAGTCAAGTTCCTACAAACCACATGTGAATCATACTATACAGCAATAGTTTGAGAAGCACCATGCAACGAAAAAAAAGGGGACCAAAGAAAAAATTAATGGGTATTGAACTTTTTATACATGCACCACTAAAGAACTGTTTGCAAAAATTAAAAAGTGAAACTTTTTTTTTTCTTTTGTAGAAAGCGATAAGGTCTAGGGGATACCTTTCCTTCGCTGCTAGACGGATTTTGGTAGGCCAACTCCAAAAACAATGATGGGAAAGATTGCCTAAGGTATTCACATCCTTCCGAATCCAAGACAGCTGAGGAATGAAAAGTGAAAATTTTGCCATTATTCGAAAGTAAGTAAGCAATGAAATACGATACTATATGTGCATTACTATTAGAATATCAGAATGTTGCCTAACTCCAAATAAAATATGCAACATATCCTTTGTCGGCTGCACCAATTCATTTCCACAAGAAATGAATGACCAAATTAAGATCAGGTTCAAAATTAACAAGACGTTCTCCATCTTATGAAACAACTTCACACCACACAGGACTCAAAAATTATCTAACAGAACACTGATGTTCTTTATATCTAGATCTTAGTATTAACATTCGTAGCTAATAAAGCTCCACGATCTCGTAGCAAGAAGAGGGGAAGGGCAAAAGTCCGATTAACTACAGAATTATGTTGCGGATTCTTAGCATGTCCAGAATACATACCCAGACGATTTTCAGCTGCAAATCTAAGACATGCTGCTTTTAATTCAGTTGCGTGATAAAGGTCTGCGAGATGTAACAAGTATGCAACTGATTCTGCTGAAATTTTTTGTAGAAAGCTTGATTCGCCAATCTTCCTAAGTTTTTGCAGTTCAAATTGATGAGCTGCCGCAAGCATTTTCCCCATAAATGAAGCAGAATAACTAACATCATTTTCTTCTTCTTCTTCTTCTTCTTCCACCAGAGTTCCTGTGTAGATAAACCACAGCATCGCCTGCAAAATGAAATGGAATGCTTAATTAATGTTCATTGCTCATCCCCTTAAGATCTATGATCCGGGCAAAGATATAGACAAAACCCGAGAAAAAAAACAAACATAAATCAACTACAAAGCCTTTTGACCACCTTCAGTTCCATTTAAGATTTGAACAGATTGATTGGTCCAACTAAAAAAGGGCAGGCAACATATAAACGCCACGTTACCGATGTTCAGGATTAGCTATTTTCAAGCCAACATAATACCAACAAAAGAGAAAAGGAGAAAAAGAGAAAAAGAAAGACATTGATCACATGTAATAAGCATGCAACATAAGCTAAAGAAGCACACAAGCTGCTAAGGCTATTTTATAATCAAGTACAGTTCTTCATCAAGTATAAGAAGGACAAAGGTGAAGTTTACAACTACGTCAATTTTCTCAGTCAGAAAGGCATTGCCACCTCATGAGCACAGAGCATGAACATAACATTCAACCAGACACCAATTTACAAATAATACTAGCAATAGTTTGACAACTTACCATTCCAAATCCAGACATGAATACATGATAGTTGACACAAACTAAACAATCAAATAAAATCAATAGACTCAAATATTGGAGATATTAAACAAAACGAAAGATGTTTAAGCTGAATAAACAGTACTACCAATAAAGATATTTAAGCTGGACAACCTTGAATATTCTGGGCTCCATATCTGGGATAACAATCTCCTCCTGTGATTGTGGACAATTTAAAAGACGTGACCGGAAAACGGGAGATGAGGCTATTAATATCCACTTATGCGCGGAAAAGCATTCGCACCCGACCCGGAATAGCACGTCAGCTCCTGCCTTGCTTTCCAACAGCTTGCCAAAGTCTTCCGCGATGCTCGATTTCGGGACCTTGATAAGAGGCAGGGTCTCAACCTCAGAAGTGACGAGTTTAATTTCGCAGCGAATTCTTAAGCAATCGTCTTTCAGATAGTTGGGGGATTCCAGCTTCCTTCGCCCAATGTAGTTAATTTCCCCCAGCTTCACGCCCGGTTCCAGAGATGACATCCTGCCGCCGAAGTCATTTACCCAATCATTGCCTTCGCCGGACTGGTCCAAAACCGACAAGCACATCGCGAAATGAATAATGTCGCCGGCAATATTCTCGTCGTCCCTGGTAGTTAGAAATAGGGAGGCGTATCCCCACCAGTAGGCGACAGTGGTTTTCCCGTCCGGGAACAGGAGGAGCACCCAACGGCGGCCGCACATCCAGAACTCCTCGCTCTCGAGTGGCTTGTCGACGCCGTACTTTATGCGGCAGTGGTAGGGTTTCACCACCCAGTCGTGAGATCCTTTTTCGACTCGTCTTGTGGTTAGCGAGGCAGACTCCGAACCATTTTCTTCCATGGCTGCTCACCGATCGCAACCTGGTCGGCGGTGGGCAATGATTCGCCAATATTGATTTCGCCGGTGATGAGGTGCTGTGGAGGATTCCTTTATTTCACTGCAAACAGGTAATTGCAAATTTGGTCCAAGGTGTGTATCCAATTCATTATTTTAAATAGTTCCTATTGCTATGTAGCTTTTTTCCAAAAAACGAGAGGTAGCTATATATATTTCGCGTTTTTCTCGAAAAGCTTACGCGAAATGCTGAAATGCGATGTTTTTTTACATTTTTAACGTTACTAGTATAATACCCGTGTACAACACGGGTATTGAGTTAAAAA